TCCTTAGCCCGTGTTCACAGGCTTGATTCTGGATTTACTTGGTGCCTCACAGCCTTGTTCTATGCCAGGAATCTGAGAGTAGGGTTAGAAGGAGGCGGAGGAAGAGGAAGAAAAGAGGGAAGAATGATCTGTGTGTGAGGTGGAAAAGTACTGCTGGTTGAGAGTGAGAAACTTCTCATTGCTACGGTATTCTTGTGAAGACTCTTTGCACAGGAAAGGCCTGAATCTACGGCAGGAATAATTTATTCATTCAGAAATTCTAATATGCAACACTTTATCCCAAAAGGGTTTTTGGAAAACTCAATTAAACGAAATAAAAAAAATTGAATTATAACGTTCACTCTGTCAGCAGGTTTTGAAAATCTCAAAACTTTACTTAAATGATCGAGGCTTGATTTAAACCAAAGTGTAGATTTGTTCTTTCCATCTCCATCTTCTGCTGCTTAGTCATAATCAAGTTGCAGAGAGAGGAGAAAAACCCAGACACCGCTCAGCCCAGCAGCACTTTACAGCTCGTCCTAGGGGACCCTGAGTTCTCCTACCAGTAGAATGTGCCCGAAACACCTCTAAAGGGAGGCTTCCAGAAGGGATCCTAATCAGATGAACCACCTCAACTGACTCCTTATGATACAGAGCAGCAGCGGCTTTGCTCCAATTTATCCACGGAGGACAGAGCTCCTTAGCTACCCTACGAAAGAAGCTCATTTTGGCTGCTTGTATCCGGGATCTTGTTCTTTCGATCATGATCCACTCCTCATGACCATTGGCGAGGGATGGAACGAAGACAAACCAGTAAATCGAGAGCTTTGCCTTTAATCTCCGCTTTTTTCTTTACCACGATTGACCAAAGCAGCGCCCTCAATATTGAGAATTATTCCCCAATCTGTCGATCCATCTACCCCTCCATCCTACCATCACTTGTGAACAAGATACCCACTTGAGGCAGAGGCACCCCCAACCCAGAGGGTGCATTCCACTCTTTTCCAGTTAATAACCAAGTTCTTGGACTTGAAGAAACAGACTCCCATCCCAGCTGCTTCACACTCTGCTGCGAACCACCCCAGTTGATGCTGAAGGTCTGAAGAATTCAACAGAACCACATCATCCACATACAGCAGAGACGAGACTCTGGTTCCCAAACCAGACACCCTCCTCCTCATGAAAGCACCTTGAGATCTTGTCCCTAAACACCACAAATAAGATCTCAGACGAGGGACAACACTGGCAGAGTCCAACCTGTACAGAGAACCTCAAATTTGTGCCAAGAACACAGCCCTGCTTTTGTTATATAGGGACTGGGTCACTCTTAAAAGCAATCCAGACACTCCATACTCCTGCAGCACCCCAAAGAATGTTTTGAAGAACATAGTCACAAGCTTTCTCCAACTCTACAAAACACATGTAGACCGGAGAGGCATACTCCCATGACCCTCTTAGCAACTCTGTAAGGGTAATAATCTGGCTCACTGGTCCACGCCCAGGACCAAAGCCACATGTACCTTCTTGAATCTGAGGTTTGACGATCAAACTTAGCCTCCCTTGAACACCCAGGAGTAAACTTTCCTTTAGAGGGAGAGAAGTGTAACCCCACAATACAACACACTCTCCGGTCCTTTATAAAAATGGGAACCACTACCCTGACCTGCCACTCCACAGGACATGGCAGGCCCACAACATCCAGAGCCTTCAGCATYATCCACCCCTGGTGCCCGGCCACCGTRGAGCTTTTTGACTAGATTTGTTCTCTATTTTCATAAAGCAAACATCTTTTAAGGTTTCACAGACAGAACATCAAATTTTCTGTCTCACATTAAAGTGTTTTGCTCTATGCAGTATTCAAGGTATTGCACAATCCCTGTCACGTTGTTAGCAACGCCTTTTAATGTGATTTATTGCTGCTCAGCACATTCAGAGGCTGCAGGTTGTAGTTGAGACATGACTAACATCTTTATCCCACAGTAAAAACAAACCAACTGACATTGTGTTTGTTTGTGTGCTCCCTCAGGTGAAGCTGTGCACAGTTGCACAACCTCAAAGACCCTCCAGGAAGCAAAGGAACTCGTAAAATCATTTCGGAAAAGTTCGAAATATGTTCCCCAGGCCATCACAGTACTGGAAAACATTAGCAATAAGCTGCAACCTCAGGTCAGATAAAGTGTATCTTAAACTTCCACAAGCATTATATCTAATGTGATGACAAAAGAAATAATAATAATTATTATTATTCTTTAATGAAGAAGAGCAAAATAGGTTCACGCTGTCTCTTATGGGTTTATTGTAGCACAATGCGTCTTTGGAGGAAGAATCTCCTGCCTGTGATGTTATCATGAAGGATGACGATGAAGACAAACCACAAATATCTGCTCGGGTCTCTCACCAAGAAGTGTGGGCCCTGTTTGAGAATATCTGGTCCAATGTGCTCCAAACTAGGTGAAGGTGTACAAAAGGCTTGTGTCAGATTAAAAATGTAATTAAACTGCAAGGTTAATGTCTCACCTATTGGTTTTCCACTGAAGTTTAATTGGATGTGTTGAAAAGTTTAAGACCCCTGTGTTTATAGTCTTTAMCTTAATCCTTAAGGAGTTGTTGCGYTAAGACCTTGAGAGGCCAGTATTCAGCAAGAGTTACAGTGCACAACCTTCATGTTTTTGAAAATTAAAGGGGAAAGGACTTATTTCCACTAATAAAATGATAATAAATAATCCCTGAGCCATAGTTCAGCTTATTTTGTTAAGTGTATTTTCCATTCCATTGACCTCTAGGGTCATTTTTTTCTGTCACGTTTCAGCTTGGAAGTGTTCAAAGCGCTTSGCTTTGACCCTCACACTATGCAGAYGACTACGCCGATGGGAGGTCCCGCCCCGCCGCAGGGCGCTTTAGCCTGTTTGCACAAACTGTCCTCTATGGTCTCACAGCTGCTTCAAGCATTCAGCAGGTATGTAAGCCAACACGTATCACTGCTGTCACACTCAACATAACGCTGAATGTTTCACTCATCAATCTGCAGCAATGTCCTTTGTCACTTTTACACTTTTTAGTGTCTTTTATCTTTGATTATTTGAGATTAGGCCTGCAAGCAACACCGCCTACAATTTTGTTCAGTTCTAACTAAGCTCCTTATATAAAAAAAATGCAACATGTAGAAATTTATGATCACATCTGAAAAGGCCTTCTTTAACACAGCTTTTTTTTATTTCTAACTATCATCTTGGCTGTCTATCTTCACTAAATCCTGCAACTGAACAAGGCTTTCACTGGTTGCTAACCTTTGCCTCTGAATTCCTTCAGAGTTGCCCTCTAGCCTTTTGAGCCAGCTATCCTTCCTGTGTCCTGATTGCGTGGGTCAAAGGACCTAGTTGGCATTGCAGCATTGGTTACGCTGTAATCTGCTTGCCCCTGAAACTTTCTTTATCTTTTCCCATGACGAAACAGTGGGCAGTGAACTTTAATACTGATCATTTTCTCATCATGTCTCTATTAAGGAACATGCTAACTGTTGTCTCAGTAATGAGTTCACATAGACTTTTTCTTTTACCTCCCTGTTTGGAACGCTCATCATCTAAGCCAAAAATTAATTGGATCTGAAGCACATCACAGTTGTGTGGTAGACGTTTGCCTGTTTAAGCATGCAAAAAACCCCACAAGATTTCTAGTTAATGTGCTTGTTGCTTGGCTTGTCTGTACTTACCTGGAAACCCTCTGCTTTTACGATGTTTGCCTGTTTGTTTAAACTGACACGACCTGTCTCAGAACTGTTTGTTACAAAACAAGAATTTGGTTTGCAGCACCGGTTTTGCAGTCATCTAGCTGTTTAACGTCATTTGCCATCTACATTACTCAGCAATAACTTGCATTTCCTTCCAATTGTAGGTCTATTTTGAAATTCCAGGAAATTTTGCATTATTTGTCTATTTTTATCAAACCAGTGAAAAGAAATACAAAATGTGCAAAATCTCTGTTGCATATAAGACTTACTTAACTTATTCCTAATGTGCATATAGTCATGACAGAACACAATAATGTAA